TTCTTGTTGTATATTCACGTCCTATAAAACCATCACATTTAGGTGATTGATTTATTCAAATAGAGGAATAATAAGAAGAGTGAATTTACAAATAATTGAAATATAATTGTTGTAAACCAGAATTAGAATGCCGTGATAATAAAAACGATTACATTTCGTATTTTGAATAAAAACAAACTAACAAATTATATAAAATAATTTTTATTGAAAAATACAGTGACTTATAATTATTGTTATCCAATCCAAAAATAAAACATAACGTCCTATGGTATTTAAAGAAACTAAACAACTGATAAAACATAAATGGGTTCATCAAAAGACAAACAAACAAAGTCGACATTACGAAGAGTTAGTGAGGCTATTGTTATTGCTACTACTGCTACTGCTGCTATTGCTGCTACTACTGCTACTGCTAGTAGTAGTCATGCTAATTGTACTAATCGTCCTTTTGGTCCTGGTGCTACTACTGTTAGTAGTGATAATATTAATTGTAATGAACGTCATTTTGGTTCTGGTGCTAAGGATTTTTCATGGATGTAGGAAAATTCTAGTGATGACTAAGAGACAAGTAACACTCAATAATTGACGGTTAATCAAACATTATAAATGACTTATGTTTTGAATTTGATAATAAAAAATGATAAAATACTTTTAAAAAAGACATATTGTTTTTAATCAGTTTAAAAAAGAAATAATATAAAATAAATGTATTGAGTAGTGATGAAAATATTGTTTGTTTATAGTTGTATAAGTCAAACAACATATAACACATTTTCTGTGTGAATTTCTTCATATTCATCATCCTCTCATTTCCATTTTTGTCATTTTCCTTTCCATGTGAAATATTTAACATTTTCATTAACTCAATTGAATGTATTTTATTTTATAAAGTGTTATATTATTTTCATTGACTATTCTAAATTTGTTTCATACAAATTAATTATAAATAAAAGGGGTATGTTTGTTTTATCATTTTAAATACGATAGATTTATTTTTACATAAATAACCAACAAACATCATTTACAAACAAATATTTTATGAAATAACCTAATTGTAGTATTTAAATAAATCATTGGAAACTACAAAATAAACAATGAGTGTATCAGAAGATAAACCAAAACAAACAAAATTCCTTTTAATTGGAGAAACAGGAAATGGGAAAAGTTCAGTTGGTAATTTCATTTTAAAGAGTAATGTTTTTAAAGTTAGTGATAGTACAATTTCAGAAACAAGAGAAGCTGATGTACAGTCTGGAGAAGGAGAAAGAAGTGATGTAACTGTTATTGACACACCAAGTCTTCAAGAATTAAAAGAATTTAATGAAGAGTTTTTGAATGGTATAGTTGGATATGTTAAAGAAGAAGAAGGAATCAATGGAATTGTTATTGTTCTAAACTATAACACAAATATAATTTCCAATAACATTAAAACAATGATTGAAATAATGTCTAAAATCTTTCCATCACAAGACTTTTTGAAACATATCTGTATTGTATGGAATAAATGTTATTATTATATATCAGATAGGC